TATTAGTGGCTGAGTGATGACAAATATAAAATATAGACCTGAATTAAAATAAATATTGACCATTAACAGTATCTGTATATAAAATGTCCCGTTTTACATAACTTTTTTTCAACAGTATATTGTGACATAATATATAGTGACACAAACTTGACAATCTATGTATCATGGATTAACTGAAATATATCTTCTAAAAGCAATAGCGCATCAGAAAATACCTTTCATGCATTTATGCATTTTATCCAAAGCCACTTACATTTGAATGAACATATTTTTTTCTGTCAGTTCTTGCTTTCCCGGGGATTTGAACCCACAACCTTTGCGTTGTTAGCGCAATGCTCTACCAACTGAGCAAAATAATAAATTGCCACCACATTTAACCTCAACCTGATGAGGGAGCTTTCTCTGTGGTGATCTCTCGAGGTTTTGTAAAGATTTACAATAAAAATCAAACATATTCTGTGATTTACAGCGTGTAACAGTATTATAATGTATTGTTAACTTTGAGTTAGTAAAGATTTGAAAAAATAGGTATTATGTTTTTAAATGCTCCAAGAGTACAAATATTAGCACTGCCCCCTAGTGGGTGGAGGAAATTACGCATTCTAAGGTGTTTAATTAGGCCACAAAAAAGGTTAGAGAGGGGGTAGGGTTGGGTAACCTTGAGTATATGTCTGTCGCACTGGCCACAATACCACAAGGGTGGACCTTTCACTTAGATTTTAACGATAATTCACATTGTGATGACTTACAAATAATTATTTTTCATAAAATAACCTATTACACAATTATTGGCACCTAACAATTCCAAGAAAAAAAATGTAATTTAAGTGTCTCTGTAATTTCTACAGAAGTTTACAAAGTTGATCTAGGAACATTTCATTAGTAATTGATCACTTCCTGCTTCCCCGGGGAATAAATATGACGTGACACAGAGGCCATTTTTCTTATCCACTCTTTAACATGGGAAAGACAAAGAAACACACGGTTCAAGTTCGACAGGTGTGTGTCCTTCACCAGTCAGGCAATGAGTACAAGAAAATAGCCCCCTGCCTGCACCCGCCCATAACTACTGTGAGAAGAAGTTTAAAAAACTGGAACAGTAGTAAACAAGCCGGACCAGGACGCAAGTTTATTTTGTGAGGAGGATGCTAAGAGAAATAAAAATTCTCCAAACAAATGAAGCATCTCGAGGTCACAACATCTCCAAAACAACTCTTAGACACCATCTACATGCCAACAGGCTCTTTGGGAGGCATGCGAGGAAAAAACCTTTTCTCCGTCACAATCATAAACGCAAACATTTGCTAAACACAAAAGACGAGTCGCAGAAAAGCATGTCATTCCCACTGTGAAGGATGGAGGAGGATCGGTGATGCTGTGGGGCTGTTTCTCTTCCAAAACCCCTTGGAACCTTGGGTGCATGGCATCATGAATGCTTTGAAACACCAGAACATTTGAAAGCAAAATCTGGTGGAAAGCTGAAAATGGGTCGTTACTGGGTCTTTTAGCAAGATAATGACCCAAAACATGAGGCCAAATCTACACAGAAATGGTTCACCACACACAGAATCAAGCTACTCCCACAGCCATCCCAGTCCCGAGACCTCAACCCCATTGAAACCTGTGACGTGAGCTGAAGAGGAGAGCGCAGAGGAGAGGAGTCCCGTCACTGGATGATTTAGAGACGGAGATCTCTCTTTCTGAAACATTACAGGAGAAGATTAGCTGCTGTTTTGTTGGGGTCATACAAAGTATTAAACATCAGGGGTGTTTATAAGTGTGGCACCCATGATTTGATGTAAAAGAATCATTTTTTTATGTGGGATTTTTTCCCACTTAAATTAAAGGTTGGAATTTCCTCCTTTTTCTCTGTGTTATTTAGAACAAACTGATTTGTTTAGAAGCTAAAGAATACATTTTAACCAGGGGTTCCATTAATCATGGAGGGC